CTCCACAAATGAATATCCCATGATTTTTTAAAAAGGCACATATAAAATTAATCTACAAGAGATGTTACATTATTAAAACATATGCTGAAATCAACAACGCTCAAGGGTCTATCATGGCATTTTGTTCTTCACTGGTATTTACATTATTATAGTTCTTATGTATTGTCCTGGAAATCAGCTTTGAAGTGGAATGATGAATAAATGAAGATGCATTATCACTATCCTTATTAGAGGGATTTTAAAGTCATTAGAGACCAACAAGACATAATAATCATATTATATTCAATCTTCTCTAGAACATCTTTGATAGGCCTGCTAACTCAATTTTTAAAATATGTATTATAGCAAAATGCAACGTACCTTCTACAGTTTTCATCTTACGGAAATTTTTGTGTTTGGCTTTCAGTTAGCCAGAATTTGTTCTTACAGAATTCATGAGTTTCATGGCGGGTTTCTTGGTTTTAAACACCAGTCTAAAATTTACAGTGAACCCTAGGTCAATACATCTACATCTACATCAACAAACCCAAACCAAAAAAAATAAACCAAAGTGCAGTGACTTTTAAAAGTAAAAAAAGTCCTAACACAAGCAGTAATCTCTCAAATAGTCAACAGACTCTGCTTCAACCAACCCCACCAAGGAGAGAAGCAAAAGGCATCTAGAGGCTTTGAGGAAGAGCAGAAACAGAACTGTACCACTCTGAGCAGTTTAGAATACAGAACATCTGGATTCAAATTGGTATCTATAGTCAAGCCAAATCTATTGATCAGAAAAAATATCCAAACACTGTATACTTGGAAATTGTTTCTTTTTCTTCTAAAGTGGGGTGGATAAACCCTAAGACAAACACCATGACCAGTTAGGAAAGCTTTGGAAATGTTAAGCGGTCTTCTAGACAGGCTACCTTCTGACGGCTTGGAGGGAGGACTGCAAAACATGTTTAAAGCTTGTGGCATGCAAGCTGACTGACAACAAAAAGGCAGAGGGCAAAGCTGCAGCCCTGTTGGTGCTTATAATTCCTGCATGGCTTCTTTGCCTGCTTTTCCCCTGAAAGGAATAGGAAAAAGTGCTGAAGGACTATGTTCACAGTAAAGGAAGTCAAAGTTGGCAATTCAATAATGACACAGTTCTGGCAACTTCTGCAACATGAACACAAAATTGCTGTCCAAGGCACAGAGAGCAATGACCTGCATAGGAATTACTTAGGTGCTTTCCACTCTTCCTTTGCTCATGAATTCCAGTACCATAAGCTTACCCCAAGCTTAGAGATACAACTGTATTTACTCAATTCTGAGGCCACCTTCATGTCTTCTTCAGTTCAGTCAACTAATGATTGTTGTATATGTATAGCAGACCTCTTTCACAGGAAGAAACCATGTTTAACTACAACCAGACACATCTCTCTTCCCCCAGCACTCTCATTATAGTTACAACTCTTTCCATCAGTTACAAGACAGAAATTTATAACCCTAGGTTATAACTAACCCCCTTCTCTGCCTCTGAAACTTCCACCATTACTCAATCTTGATGGCAGAGGTGGCAGAGTGACCCCTGTGACTGTAGGGTCTCTATCACCGTGGGCTGGCAGTGGCAGTTGTTAATGTCAAGACGGAAACAAGTGCAACGGTATCAATGACCATTCCTCAGTAGTTCATTCTTCAGTGGCTCCACTTGCTACTTGTAGAGCTGCATTAGAGCAGCAGAGCAAAGTGGGAAAGCTCTTGAGCACCGAAGACAGAGCTTACAGAAAAATCATGTGAATGACTGTCTTGTTGCCAGTGCACTTATTTGTGGAAAAAGAGTGGTATGTGGGAAAGTGAAAGTTTCTCAGCTGTGTGGCTAATGCTTACAATTACTCAGTACAAAAAAAAAAATCCCTAAGTGGCTAAAAAAAAACCCCAGCAGCCTAAGGCATAGGTAAGAGCAAATCTGGCTAGAACCAAAGGAAAGTATTTTCATACCTCTCCTCACTTAAAATTACACATCTAATACAGAAGCAAGATGGAAAGTACAGTCCTTACTGTTAACTCTTTTTGCCTGCAACTTGGCTGGGGATGACGTACAAGGAAGAAAAATGAACACTGTTTTCATCTCAGATTTTAGGCAAACAGCAACGGAGAATATATTGTAAGCCACATCTTTCATATCACACCTGCTGCCCAGGGAAGGCAGAACCAGCACTGAAGTATTTTCCTTTAATTCTGTCATTGCTGTTCCAGGTCCTTCAGGATTTTCTCCACTTAGCTCATACTTGCTACTTCTGAACAGGCACCTTACATCAGGTAAGTCCTCAGATAAAAACGCTCCAAGTCGCCACCATCTATGAACATCATGATATACACATACCAATATTCTCAGGATGTTATTGATGTTATCACTACATCAGCCACCATCCAACCTCACTTGTTGTATCTGTTTCTTTTACTTTCCTGCCTCCTTCCCCAAAACTATTTATCTTACTAACTACCTCTAATTGTCTTTCCATTACCTTCTTGCTCCTCATGAACCCTCCAGTTTTCCTGCTATTCACCTTAGCCTTGCTCTGCCTAGTCATTCTGCAGTTAATTTTCAATCTCTATAGGCTACAGAGATACTCTGCTCTTGGCTACTGGCTGGATGAGACACTTTTGTCCCTTCCCAGAAATAAAGAAGGAAACATTCGGCAGTTCTTGGCACCTGGAACTGGACAGGCAAACAAATGATGGAAGTGGCGCAGTGCTTTTCATTTTGTTGACTCTGTGGATCCTCATGCATCTCTGGGAACTAATTCTGCTACAATCTGTCATCCTAGTTGAGATCATCTGTTCAAACCCAGCACAACAACGCTCTCTCCTTGCAGGAAGTTGATGGTAACAGCCCTGCAATATTGCCACTGACTTCCTCCTTGATGACTTAAGCAAAAACTGCAGAATGTGTTAGATTGAACTAATTTGGCACTAACAACATGAAAGTTTAAAAGGAAATTAAATGGGCAGAATATATTAAGCTTTCAGACCTAACTCATCTCAAACAAGGAAGAAGAGGGAGCAGGAATAATATTCAGTCTCCTATGAAAGAGCTCTAGGCATTTGTCAAGTCCAGAAGATTGTTAAGAAGGATGATAAATATGACATTAAGGTGTCATTTTTTTTCTACTGGTTTTGTTTGTTCAGTTTTGGTTGGTTTTTTAAATATTTATTATTAAAAAGTTGTTTCAGGAACTACGCAAGGCACTGCACACACAAAGCACGCAGCTTCCTGCTTCTGGGCGTGTAAGCATCCTGTTGATTATTTCTAGGTCCCAAAAGGACAGCAGTAAAGCCAGGTACACTTCAGCTCACCTTTCTTATAACCCAATTCCTAATCTACAGGCTATCGCTCAGCAGCAAGGGAGAAAACGTGGCTTCTGTGCTCATTCTGGTTACCACTCAATAAGTTCTTTAAGTCAGACTCCAACTCTTTGCTAAAAAAAGGATCAGTCATGGAACTGAACCTTTAGTAATGACAAACTGCATAACTAAATTTATGCCAGAAAATGGTTAACAGCAGGGAGTATTCCTGGTATTGATAGGCTTCTCTAAAATAGAGAATGAGTAACAGCCCTCAGATGGACCCCAGAATGGCTAAATGACACCAGTCCAGCCCTATAACATGGGAGCCTTTTAAAATCCCTTCAGCCTTCTTGATTCTCTGCCACCAGAAGTTACTTTAAGTTTCTTGTCACTAAAGTTACGATCTTTGGCCTGCAGAATGTAGTTCAACAAAACAAAAAACAACCAACCAAAAAAGCCCTGAGACACACATTGCCAGAATTTGCTCCTTAACTAAATATCAGCTAAAATATAAACTCAGATTCCTCTGAGAAACTAATAGAGCCTTTTGTTCATGACAGCACTTAAAACCGGTTTTAACAGAAGTAACATACTGAACTCACAATTCCAAAACCAGCATCTCTCAGGTTAGCGTAGAAAAACCACAAAAGAAAATAACCCATCACTTTGTCCTGAAGTTTGCTGAACAACTACTTTCTCTTCAGATTACACTTGTAGGTATCCTTGCTTTGGGAACTAATGCGAGAGCAAACTAGTCCTCAAACAGGCCAAAAAAGTGAAATTAAAAGGAGGTGGGGTTTTTTTGGTTTTTTTTTTTTTGCTGCTCGATGTGTCATTCCCACTACTACAGAAACAATTGCTATAAAAAAACTGCAGAGAAGTTTGGCATACTCAGTAGCAATGCACCTATTTTAAGAATAACAGTACCAAGTTAGTTTATTCACAGCTGACTTAACTTTCAGATAAATATCTGGGCAGATCTAGAAATTCCACTTCAGAACAATCTTCCAGAAAATTCTGAATATTTTAAAAACTGAATTACGATTTATATCATCATCTAGAAACCATTTAGCATGTATTAACAGGGGTGGGTGGGAATTGAAGCTGACTATGCATTTTATCTCATAACACTTTATCTTTCCCGATGCACTTTGACAAGACCTGGATCACAGACCAGTCTTCCCACACAGTGAACAGATGTTTTCCTCCCACATTTAGAGCTTCCCAAGACCAACCAATCCCTCACAGGTTACTTTTAGTTTCATTGTACCTTCAAACCCTGTTTGCTATAGGATTTCAGATCTAATGTTTTATTGCTTTAAAGAACAATAGTATTTATTTTTAAGAAATGAGTTAACTAATTTGGCATCTAATTAAAAAATATAAATAGGCACATAAAAATATGAGGGGTTGTGCAACTTGTTGTCTTTGAACTATTCCAGGATTCATGGAGTTAAAGACTGTGCAGTACTGTACATCAATTAGAATGTTAATTTTCTACAAAGGATTTCACCCGGACCTCTGTTTCAGATGTCATGGTACTGTCCCCTGGAAAGTCCAACTGTACTACAACTGAGATTCATTTTAACATAATTTTCCATTATATTTTGTGAAAGTTTAAGACTCCCAAATATACCTTCCAGAACATTCCTGATATTGGGAGAAAGATGAAATCCTGCAACACTTACCACCAAACACATCTCCGTTCTGATAATTTTTCCCCTTCTGAGTTTCCTCTTCGTTTTGAACAGTAGAAACATGCTTGGCAGAGGCACAGCCCATCGCTTCATTCAGACAGCTCCAGCTGGACCGAAACAGATCATGTCTAGAGACGCATGCTCATTGTTTTAAAAATAATCCACCTTCCTGCTTGGTTGTCAAGTCACTTTTACCTAAAGAAGGCAAAAAAAAAAAAAAAAAAAAAAGAGAAAAATGTTGACAAAAGGTGGCTTCTAAATGTGGATCTTCAAGAAGACAAATAATGAGGTTTCTGAAGAGGAACAGAATACCACAGGCTCTCTCCATCATCTCAGGTTGCTAAAACCGTATTTAATAAATGTCTGACACGGGTAGGTCATGATACAGGTATATCAATCCTGCCTTGGGACAGGAGTGCAGGAGTGGAACCCGAAGTCTCTTCCAGCCCCATTCGTTTAATCTGTAGCTTGACAAAAGGCACTTCATACAAATATGTTTCCACAAACCCAGCTATTCTCACAGAACAGGGGATATTTTTGGAAAGAAGATAAACCACCAATATCCGCTCCTCCTGTTCATTTCAATCTACCCATCAAGCCAGATTTCTTACAAAGTGTTTTAGTGATTAAGAGCTGCTAATTGCAAGTGTTCAGACAAAATAACCCCCCTAAATCAATTAAAGATCTTATGTTACTAGATGTGAAAGGCGATAGCCAGCTGTACTATATTTTTTCTACGTATTCATTACTCTACTTAATTCATAAAACCTCCACTGCTCAAAAAGGCAACTATCCCCGTTATAAGATGGAATAACACTCTCCGAACAATCCAGATGTCACATAAAACAAAAGGAGGAAGAAAAAGCTAATTCATAGCTGCAATATTATATGTGAAAACAAAACCAAAACAACTCTTTTATTGCTAAATGGTTCTGCACTTGAATAAAAACAACTTAAAAGTTTGGTGAGATGACCCGGCTCTCTTTTGCACCAGCCAAACCTTTTGGAACAAGAGAAAAGCTAGAGAAAAATGAGAACCAACCCTCTCTGCTGAGTTGTTTAGTTCAGCTATAGCATAAGATTATACATACAATTTCTTGACTCATTACTTCCGGGCATTTACTTTAAAAAGATGTGGCTCATTTTACTCCATGCCAACAACAATAATTTTATCTATAACAGCAGATGGGCCCTCTTACCAAGGATATATCAGTATCCATCCCACCAGAAATGTATAACTCCAAAGAAAATAGTCTGAGATTTATTTCCCTGTGTGCTCAGTATGAACAGCACACCTGCTTGGGCCAAGGCAGCACTGGGACACATCAGGACATGGTCTAGGAGGGCTCCACAGCTGCCCCCAAAGTGATTTCCTCGCCCATTCCCAAAGCCACAGAAACAAGGATGCGGCCACCAGGTTGAGAGCAATTCTGCTTTTGCTATTGCAGCCGCAGGTTCCCTGACAAGCAGCTTTTACTATGCAAGAGGAAGGACTCTGGATAGATCCACCCCTCACGTCTATTCACAGACCAGCTTCTACCTTCCATCTTGCTCTGCACATCTTTCTCTATTTAAGTAGGGTATTCCACTCAAAGTGTACAACACATATATGCTCAATCCCTGTTCTAAGCAGCTAACCCTCCCAGGCACCCCTTTACCTGCGTTTTCCTTTGGGTTCAGTATATTCTCCACCATGCTTTCTCCTATATATGCACACTTGAGCACAAATTTCTAATTATCACATCCTTCTCTCTTAGCGAGAGCTAGCTACTCACTTTAAAGCGCAGGATTTTAAAACAGGCATTCATGCTGTCTGTGACAGATACCGCTGAGCTACATTTTAACCTTACATGGTTACTTTTTAAAAAAAAACAACAACAACCACAACCACCAACACAAAAATACAAAATAACCACAAAAAAAACCCACAAAAAAATACAAGTAACCCCCCAAAACAAAAAAAAAAAACCAACAAAACAAACCCAAACCAAACAAAAAAACCCAACACCCCAAACCCCCAAAACAAAACAAAAATAAAAACAACAACAAAAGAAAAGAAAACCTTGTTGTAGCACAAGTCAGTATTGAACTATGGAATCTTTCTGCTTCCTCAAGCAATTGCCAAGGATATTTTTCAAATTGTTGTAATGCATCTACTTGTCACTTGTACAGACAAAGCTACAGCACTCCTAAGCCACTAACTGTTCTCAGAATTCCTCTACGCACATCCAAGCAGTCAATAATCCGGATTAGGCCATCCTAATTACACTGCCATGCATTGTGAATACCAATACACTCATTTTATGCAAACTATATTGGTTGTTCTTAAGATTTTGCAACACAGTGAAGGTTGCAGCAGACAATTCTTGACGTGTCCAAATAGCAGGACAGCTTGCATTAAAGTAATATGTTTTGTCTCACTACTGGAGTCAGAAATCAAGATCTTTAAGCATTTCAAGAATCAGCTACACCTGGAGGATGGTATGGGAGATGGAGGAGAAATAGCAGACTGGGAAGGGTAATTTCTAAGTGGCCTGGAAATTAAACATGGACTGATTTTCTTAGAGGATGCAAATCTGCTTAAAGGCAATAACTTTTAATGCACCACCTGAAACAAATGAGGGAGTAAAATGATCAAGTTTTTACCTCAGAGTCTGTTTCAGATTTCAGATGAAAGCAAGAGCCCCAAGGTAAGCAGAGTCTAAAAAGAGTAACTTTGATTGCCAGTTTAAAATATAACCAGTTATATTATCCCACGGAAAAGGATATATCCAGCTATGTGGCAAAGAGCAAGGGGAAACCAAATGTAACCCCAGAAAAGACAAAGATGTGTAGCTGGGACTGCTAACAGACTGTACATGGGGAAAATCACTGCACACTGTAAAACCGGCATCTCACAGAACAGCTGAGCTGCTCTCACAGAAGTACCTGTTGAATGAATTATCCTCTTGCCTTGTTCAACTATTTTTCCTCTTTCTTTTTCTGTCTTTCAGCAGGGACCCTTTAGAAAAGGGAAAGAGCTGCTTAGTAATGAAAAATTTACTTCATAACATAGCAGTGGCTTGATTTTTAGAGGGGGATTTTTTGTGAAGCCTTATACAAAGCCAATATGCAGCAATACAAATCACAAGATACTTAATTGTTGATGAGTACCCAGGAGCGGGATGGTCCCATCTCACAGGACCACAGTGAGCTGTAGAAGCAATCGGAAACAAAGAGATGCAAAACATCAATGCAGAAGAATAAAGCTCTTTGGGGGAGGGAAGGTAAAATACAGAGTCAAATCTCTTTTGCAGCATCTTGGTAGCACACAACAACCTAACTAAAAATATGGTCACATTCAAAGGCATGCTGTGATCAAAGGAAACAAATAGGAATACAAGAACTGGAAGTTTCATCTTTTACATTTAAGAACAGTAATCACAGCAGTGTCTGAAAAAACTACACTACTAATACTTGATTACGGAGGCAATTTCTTCTGGAGCCAATTAATTGGGCTGAGAAAGCTACTCCAAAATGACCTCCAAGATAAGTCTAACACACATTTCTAGGCAAAATTCTTGGACTACTGTCAACATAGTGCAGAGCAACAGACAAGACTGTGACATGGATACCTAACAATCCAGAATTAGAAGAGGATTTAATACAAAGAGAGCAAGAGAAAAGCAGCATTAATTTTATGAGACGAAATCTGAGATACATGACACTGTGATGATCTGCAGCCTTATACTGCCCCCAGCCTCAGGGAAACAACTCTTGCCCAAGTACTGAAGCCCTCAGTGCTGAGGTTTGGGTATTGCTCAGAAATGAGTGCTGGTCCTCATTCAGTAGGATGACTGCAGAGGGTTTTGAGGAGGTAAAACACAGTACTTCAAGTGGCAGCAGAGTAACATAGCCATTCTGCCTCCTCCCCCACTTTTGCACAAATACAATTTTCCCTTTTGTTTTCCTGAGCATTTGGGGGTATACAGATTTTTAAGAAGCCAAAAATAAAAGGAGTAAGAAAACCTCAAACCATTTGCAGTTCATGTTCGCCACCCACCATCATTAATTATCAAGATTTGAGAGACAATTTACAAGCTCCAATCTGCAAAAAGCTAGTGAGAAAAACCTCTTAGGCAGATCAAAAGTGTCTACACCACCCCCAAATTAAATGCGACAGGTTTAAGATTAACATCTTATGTGCAGGTCGAGAGAAGGCTACAGACACTTTCAGATGCTGTACCTTGTACCTCAAGTTTCTTCTGAGCCAAAAAAAAATGGGGAGCTCAATTCTTAGAATACAAACTGCCTTTGGAAATTTAAGCAATTCCCTTTTTTTTTTTAATTGGTTTGTTTGGTTGTGGGTTTTTTTTAGGCATGCCTATGTTGTGCTTTTTATTTTACCAGCTCTTTTAACACTTTGTTAATCAACTCATCATCCCTTCACCTCTTATTTCTGGCAGTCACATCCAATGCTGCATCCTCAACAAAACATATTTTGCTTCCACAGCTGAAAAACACATACTTGCTAGTAAATGGAGGATCTCCAGTGTTTTACAAGAAATGTATGTTAATGATTCTATTATCACAGGTGTATTTGTTTTCATCCTTATTGCACTGAGATAACCAATCGTTCATCTTTTTCAGGCTGCAGATATATCTAAAAGTTTTCTTCCATGCTGGCCACACCAGAAATGAGGTTAAAATTTTACAAAGCTCAAGAGATCAAAGCAGTGAGCTTTGTGCAGGCATCAAAAAAACCCCTAAGCTACAAAGAAACACCACACTGGCTTTTCCTAAAATATAACAATTTTTCCTAAAACACAACAATTGGCAGATCCCAAGGATTTAACTTGCTGCTATTAATCACACTTATTTCCTACAAGAAATAGGCCAGTTTTATTTCCATTTGATTCCTCCCCCGCCCCCCCAAAAAAAAAAAGAGAAGAAAGCAGCAATGTCTTCTGAATTTGTCCTCCATGACTTCACTGGAAGTTAGCACCTGGGAGTCCTCCACTGTGACATCCCTCTTCCTCAGCCACCTTCCATCACATCTGCCAGAAAAGATGGGGTTTGGGGAGGTTTTTTTTTCAACTGCCAAAAGGCATTTTTCAGCCAAAAAGACAGTACCTCTGCAGTGCATCAATGGCCTAAGGAGGGTATAAAAATAAAAAGATTAAAAAAACCCTTTAATATAAGCTCTCTTTCTTCTT